GGCACACCAGTTCCCTGGGCCGGCGCCAGCTGGCTCCAGCCCACCCCAATCCAGCAAGGAGAGTGGGCGGTTTACAAGAAAGCTTCTAGTCCAAACTTAGAAAAATATTTGTCAACCCCGTACGGCGATACTCTAGCACCGCTTCCACTCCAGCTAAAGCGGCGAGGAAAACCCCTCGCAAGGAAGTTCTGCACTGTGTTTATTTTGTTGGCTTGCCTGTGGATGTATGTGCGTGGGTGTGATTTAATTAACAAATCACAGCACCGATTCCTTTAAAATGGCACTTTTTGGCTCCAGTCCAGCCAGGGGTTGACTGTTTGTGGTTCCCAACCTCAAGAGACCGCAAAGTACCGCCGGCCTCCAATTATTGAGATCCTCAGACCTGAACACTGAAGACTGTCCTTCTCCTGTACATGGCTCTATCTGCCCACATCCCAGCTCCAAGAGCTCCCGCCACACAGGAGCGTGAAGCAATCCCTTACCATCGTACCATTTAGCAGTACACAGAGCTCTCAGAGTTTTGTGTTGGCAATTCAGATCTGTATTCAATAGCAAAATATATCTGAGTATCAAAAAAGCTTCCCACCCACCTCCTCCTGCCGGGTGTAGCGACTGCGTGCTACGTGCCTGGTCGGGTGACACATTGTTGGAAAGATTAAATTTCCCTTACCCAATTACATAAAATATTAATGTTAATTGAGCTTATTCAGCCTTGATTCTGATCCCTTGTTCCTTCGTATAGAAGCCTTCCTATACACAGTGACATGAGTATACCTACCTCCAAATAGAAAAAAAAGCCTACATTTATGCTACAACAAACCCTGAACTTGCATCCTACATAAGCATATCTTTGTGTTCAGGTAGCTCCCTACTTAAAAGAGGGAGATATGCTCTTGTAAACTTGTTTGTCAGGTTGGGGGTTTATTGTTGTTGTTGTTTTTATGGATTTTTCTGTTTGTTGTTTTTTTTTTTTTTGTTTTTGTTTTTTTTTTTTGTTGTTGTAGGTGTTTGTTTTGTAAGGAAGGGCATTAAAAACAACAGGCTACAAGCTTGACTTAGTCTTCAGTGCAAGTTTCCATGGCCCCTTTCCCAATTACAACTTTTTACAGCTTTTAATTTATAACTGGCCAGCGACAGCAGCATCCTTCCCAACATAAGCAGAGAGTAGCTGATGTTCCACTGTCTGAATCTGCAGGCAGGTGCAGGTACAATAACAGATTTAACTTCTTGCTCCCTGGTTATCTCATTTGGCTATTAGCTCTAGAGCCCCAATGACAGCATTTTGTGATCAGCTACCCCACTGCTGATGATTTTCACAGATAATAACCATGTAATTTAAAAATGAAAAGTAAAAAAAAGAAAAAAGAAAAAAAAAAAAAAGGAGATGGAGCACAGAGAAAACCTAACAGCTCAAACTACTATGTCCTACAGAAGAGTCACCGTTCCTTTTAAAATCCTGAATAGGATAATCAAGCACAGAAAAAAAAAAAAATCAGTTTATTATGTAACAATCTGCACTACCTATCTGTGAAAAGCCTCCTGAGACAGATGCTGAGTCCTGAGATGAGTGGTGCATATTTCAGCCCCTCCCTGTACCCCTGCACACATCCCAGGGGTCCTCACCCCTCCCGAGGAGATGGAGATGTCTCCAATGGGCAAGCTACAGGTTTTGTCGTTTGGATTCCCCACATAATCCCTTTGGTTTTATCCGAAACCAGTGAAGTGACTTGCAGAACACTACTCAAAATAGATAAGCATGGCAAATCACAGCCCTCTTTAGGAAGTTATATGTAAAGATGATAATAACATCAAAAACATATTAACAATCTTTTAAAATTATCATTATAGTTGTTTCTATGATGGCCCCTTATATAAAATCTATTCCTTACACATGACCTGACTGTAACCTTATAAAGCAAAAAAAAAAAAAAAGGCAAAACAAAGCCCTTTCATAAATACTACATATTAAAGTAATAAAAAGTAATTTCCCCAAAATTAATTTAGAACTCTTTCCTCACTGGAAGTGTGAATAGCATAAAAACTTCCTGCTTTGAAAGTTGCAAAAATGTTAAAGATTACAAATGCACAAATGTAAACCAGAACTGTTCTAGGATGAAGTAGCAGCCACATGATAACTGTGCGCCTGTCTGAAGTAACAGACCTGTAAACAACACCAGTTAACAAAATATTATTGATAATTCATTAGTTCCATTCTTTGCCCCTCCGTGCCTGACCATCTTTTCACTATTAGGCTTATTAAACTTAATATAAATATAGCACACTGCCTACAAACAAGTTATTATACTTCTCCTGAATAATTTGTCTGATACTATCATAGTGATACAAAGAATTATAAAATTATGTGCAACCATACCCATATGTTAAAATATCAATTTTGTTCCACTATTAGAGAAGTGGTAACCACATCTGTCATTAATGTGTGTGTTTTAAAGTGTGTAAGCCAGTGAACAGAGTTGGACAACTGTCTGTATTTGATGTTCCTTTCCTTTAACTTATATAAACCAATAACCACAATGTTCTCTTGGACCAATATTCTGCAGTTAATTTCTTTATTTTTAACATTTATGTTTCTCTTATGTTTTGGGAAATATTAATGAGTAGTTTTGTAGTTTTTTAATACAGTTTTATTTTCTATGAATTACTGTCTGATTTTATGTTGTGTTGCCTTTTGGCAGATGAAACTCCTACAGAAACTTTTCCCTTTTTGGCTGTACAGTTAGGGCTTTTTCCTCCATCAGGCTGCCTGCTCAAGGTACTTCGGAATCTCACAGATTTCCACCTTTGTGTCAAACTAGGTTGAAATTGGCGGATGAGTTCAAAAGCTATCGGGAGGGTCTGAATGGCAGCAAGAGCCAGCCTGGCAAGCACGTGTGAGCTGACAACATTAGCCTGGTTTGTAAGGAGACAAGGCTTCAGAGGTAACAAAAAGCAGAAGTCAGTGTGTATGGCTTGAAAGCTCAGTAACAAACAACAAATAATTGCAACGGGTTATATAAGCAAACATATTAAACACCAGTTTATTAGACACCACTTGAATGCTGCCCTGCCTGGAAGAGGGCCAGCAAAACTCGGCTGCTGTGTTGGAAGATTCTGTACGGGCTAATTCAGAGCAGTTCAAGGAACTGGGAGGCACGTGCACGCAGGGCACATGTCCCTGCTGCGCAGCCAGGCTGAACTCACCAGAACACCTTTTCGAGTGTTACGTGGTATTTCCTTCAAACACAGTTATCCTAGGAGGGAACTGGGCATCCCTTCTCAGCAAAAATGATACCCACATCAAACCGTAACTTTCAAAACTCAAAATATTTTTGCCACTGCCATCTTGTACTGCAAGTGGTCCCAAAATAGAGAATTGTGAAAGTCAGCATGGGGAAAATAGAGGAGCCATGAGCATGATTTCTTATTGGATCAAAGGTTTCCTAAATCACATGGAAAGTTGTTGTGTCTGCTCTGTGGGTAATTTGAATCGGGCATCTGTGTAGCTAAATTGATGGGTTAAGCACGCGTTTCTCAAATAAGTGATCCCCAGTCTTTGCTGGCATATGAGAACCTATACTGAACAAGTAACACAGGCAACAACACGCTTTGCAAATTAAAAACCTAAATCCCAAGTCAGCAGGGAGAGCAGTGGTCACGAACAATGTCAGAGGGTCACGCAAGCAACATGAGTTATGAGCTGGAGACTGACTACACTAAGCTAACATATAGGGACATTTAAGATGTCTTCGTTGAGGCATCTTAGCAGTGCTGTAAAACGTCATTTAAAAGCACTTACCTATCTTGATGTCACCACACAAAGTACTAAGATGATATCTGCAGGAAAACTGGCTCACCCTCAAATTAGACCCCCTATTCCCAAACCAAGCACAGAAACACACAGGTTGATTGACATCCCTGCCTATGATGAGACACAGAAAGTTAATAAGCATCACAAACACTAATGTAAGCAAAGCAATTTACAGAATCAAACCCAGGATCAGATCCTGGGACCATTCAGGATTTGGGGGGTTATTTCTTTGGAAGCTGGATCAGCCTAGGTGGCCCAGCCACCACAAGCACAAAACAGCTTTTTTGAAAAGCATGGGTGTTTTGAAACTGTTTCACCAACAGGAGCAGATACAAAAGCATAATTTACACACTTTCATGCCACACTGTAACAGCTAAATTGCTCAAGAAAGGACAAGTGAACAACTGTTCAATAAATTTATATATTAACGGGGTCATATAATTAAAAGAAAAAAAAGCAACAGCTTCCTCCAGTTTTTGGAAATATCCCAGGTCAAGATCATGCTTCAGCCCCAAAGGGAAATGCTTTACAAAGTTAGATCATTGGAGAACACAGATGCACAAAATAAACTTTTACGCAGTCTTAATTACAGAAGCTACTATTGCAACAATCAGACTTGGAATGTAATTCTATTAAAAGTAACAAGTAACCTCACAGACTTGTGTTAAGTCAACTTTTTCTCTGTGAATAAACTGCAAAGGATATTATTTCTGGGACAGAATAAATTCTTGAAATTAGTGAGTAACTTATGCATTGCTCCCCTGCTCCAAGAACACATTATTTATTTTTGCCATGACATAGCAAAGTTATTAATCTGCTGCCTTCCATCTCAACAATACGAAATGCTGTAAAATGCACAGACACCTGCATTACAGTACATTTCAGTTCCACTTTATATCAGTCATAAACATCTCTGTTTTGGACATCTCTTCAAAACAAATGCTCCAAGCACACTGTGCATAGCATTCGATTTTATGAAACTATAAAAGTTCTTCACTGTTAATTACACAGACAAATGTCTCATCACACATTTGATTACCAGGATAATATAATTAGTTTTCTACATTAACCTTTCAAACATAGAGCCTGGATTTCAAGTTGAAAGCATTGTAAAAACACTCAGTCTGGAGGTATATTATATTTCTGCTTCTTTGTGATTATAATAAAATAGTAAGACTGAAAAAAAACAACATGGTGTATGCAAAAGATTTTATTTAAATAGACACGCTAGGTTTAAGCAGCATTGTTCACACAATATGGGTGTCCAGTCCCCTCACGGGCTTGTACTCCCAAGTCTGGGCCAGCAGCCCTGTGACAGAAGGTTTATGCTGATAACTGGTAAAAGCTGAAGTCAGGTCTGCCTTAAATCTTGTCCATATTCAAGGTTTAAGCACTTCACTCTGGGCTGCCTCCTCCTTTTCAGATCGAGCAGCGTCTCTTGGTATCAGATAAGTAAGCCCTTCCCTTCAACACAAAAGAGATGCCAATCCTCATCTGCAAAATACAGTAGCGATATTCCCTCCCCACCCTGAATTTTGTAAAGGCTGCGTTTAGTACCTCCTTCACCTAGGAAGACGTGACTGCTTGTTTATCATCTTATCAGAACAAAGGATTAGAGGAAAGGACAAGCCACCACACCTCCCACTCCAACACTGCGCCACATGAGCAAACTTCCGAGGCTTACTGAGCTCCATTCAAAAAGCAGTTGGACTTTACACCATCGCAACCAGAGGTCACGTCCAGTATCATGTTCCTCTAATTGTGCCGAAGCTTCCTCCAATTTTCAGCCTACATTTACACAAAGCCATGTGTTGCCCAACTCTGTTGGTGCAAAAAAGACCTTCTAGGTTCAACAGGTCTTTCCTGACATTTGATCCTTAATTTACCTGCATGTTAAACAAACTGGATTATTCCAATCTAGTCGTTTACCCTAGTAGCTCCCCTCTTCTCTTGAGTTCATCTTTCTCGACTCTGCAACCAAGACATACATGCATCCCACTCCTGATAAAGCTTCACTTGTTTATACACTGGCATTAACATTTCACCTTTTCTAAAAGGTAATAGTTTCAGTGATCTATCTTAGCATCAATTCACATACTAAAAGATACCTGACATTGAGGTTTCAACAGCTGATCCCACGGATCAGGTAAACCGAAGAACAAACCTAAACTGGAGGACAAACTGAACTCTAAACCAAAAAACTGGAGTGAACATCCTTCTAGGATTAATTTTGGCATAAAACAGTGAAATCAAGTGAAGCAGTGATTATACCCTGAAGCTCCTTATTAGTGGACAGGACACCAAGCTGGGGAAAGTGTTGTGATCCCACCATTCGTGAAGCACAATGAAAAATTACTCCATGCAACATGAAATTTGTTAAAGGAGAGCTGGAATGCCAAATGCCACTCATCTCAGATCCCTGTCAAAAGGTGGGGGCTCAAATCTCAAGTGCTTTCAGCCAAATTCAGTCCCTGACACCGCTTTCCCTGCATCTCAGATCGGTGCCTTTGTCACTAGGAATCTGTACAGAAGTGGACACCAAAGTAACTACTGAAAATAAAGTGGACAAGGTTATATGAGTTCTGAGTAACTTACTGAATTGAATCCAACCCTGAATGGGAAAAAAAAAAAAAACAAAAACCAAAAAACAAAAAACCAACCTAGTCTACAAATCTTGCATGGTCATAAAGCATTCAGTCTTGTCAAAACCAAGATGCTTTGAGGAAATACGGAAGTTGGACACTCAGGACATCATCAGGAAATAGCACCTTTTTCTTTTCACAGCAACTGAAGGTGGGCTCCCAGGATTGCAACTCTGTGCTTCAGTGCCTGATAAGGAAGATCCTTGGTAGAACTCACATTCCTACAGGTTATATCCTGACCAGCTCTTGAAATAGGTGAAGTTTAGTCACTTAAATGCCAGAGCACATTCAGTCACAGTAAAAAGCTGGGCATACTCAAAGAAAACCCTAAACCAAACGCAAAGACAATACAGCCAAACCAAAATCAAAATCAATTGGACTCACACTACAGATGTCAAAGCACAGACTCCTGCACATTCTTAGAAGTATCCTGGCTTAAGCAACTAGACGCCTAACTCCTGCCAGGCTTTATCATGATTTAGGGTTGGAAGAGAAAGCTTTCAAAATAAACCTCTGGTGGAGGCCACTCCATCAGGTTTATCAGACTTCACCGACAGTGCTTACAGAACATGAAATCCAAACACAAACCACACGAGCCATGTTCGCTTCTCCCTGGAAATGGGTGCAGGGAAGTAATATTTGCTCAAAATCCCAATGGCAAGAAGCCGAGAAGGGAATTTAACACAGCTCTCACCCCCATGTAAATATTCCAACTATCAGAAGATTCCACACTACCCAAGATATCCTCCTCTCCCATTTGCTGCTGACCTCTACAAGAGGATACAGCACTATGAATTAAGGAGACAAAGGCATTTTGCATGCAGATTGACTTCAGGTTCTGATTCACACATTTGGGACCAGTGCTTCTTGCTGGCTCCAGGGCTCATGCCCAGTCTACAGAAACCTTTAATCACCCTACAAAAATGTTTAGGGTCCTGGTGCAGTTATGGAGAGGCAGACATCCCCAAATTTTCTGTTGCAAAGGCACCTGCTTTCTCCAGAGCCTGAGCAAAGTGTCCAAGGGCTTGCATTATACAGCAAGAGTCATTACGGTAGCTCAAAAATCTGACCCTTACTCCTTTGAATTTGGCCCAGCAAATTTGTGCCAAGAGGTGCTTCACTCAGGTGAGGTCCTACATGGGACAGGAGGGGACTGGAAGCAGGAAGGGAAGAAGCACTCTGCAGCTGAGGAGTTACATGGGACAAAAACCACACAGGCAGGAAAGATAAAGGTTTGCTGATAACCAGTCCTATCATGCTGTAGTATATAGCATGCTGCAGACTCTATATTACTTCTCTGTTTTCTTTACACATTTTTAACTGTTGATTTAATTTAATTTTGCCATGGCAGGATTAGCAGGCAAGCTACAGAGGTGAAAGGACATTACATTAAGACAGCACATTAATCCTCTATCCCACCCAAGGCAGAAGCAAAACCAAACAAATAGCAGCTTCCTGGAAATTGAATTTCTGTTATCCAGATGTCAAAGATGTAATACCCCAATTACACAAACTATTGCCAGTGAAGCATGCCAGCAAATATGCAATGTAAATGGGGTGAGCACAGAGCTGCAAAACTGCAGAGTCAGCATCTGGCTCTCTGAGTGAGTGATAATTAGCACTGTGTGTAGACACTAATAAACATTTATGTCTGAAATTACAACTTTTAGCAGTGTTAATAAAGGATATATTGGCAATTCGTAGAATAAAAGGGTCTTGAAAAGAACGTCATATTAAACAATGGCAGGCGCTTCCTGTGCTTGCACAGATTTTTTTCCCTCCCTAATTGCAAATGGCCACGCTATGTTGCTCGGAAATTAATCAACACAAGCACATACCTAAAAAAACTGGTTGTGTTTCTTTGGTCTCCCCATTAACATCATTGCTGTAGTCAGAGATCTTATATATCTCATGATGGTAATCTGGAATGAAAAACGATAAAAAAAATTAGAACTCAAGTGATCTGGAAAAAATGAACACTGAACACATTGCTACAGTTTTACTACATAATTTATCAATATATCTGCAGTTTATTTCACATACATCAAATTAACCACAGAAAATGTGCTCTGTATCAGCACCTTCTAAAAAAACTTTGCTCACACTGGAGAGACTCAGCTCAAATATTTCACAGATTTTAGGGAATAGCTACGCCTGCCCTAAATTACTGTGTTCATTTTCACAGCAAATTATCCCACCAGATGCCAATTATCTGGCTTCTTGCTTTACAGATGGAAAGCAGATTTATAATGAAATCTTTACCTTCCCGGAGACCAAGGGAAACTTTCAAACTTCACCTCAATCAAAAAAATCAGCAACGTACATTAGGGCTGCATTGTTCAGCTATCCTGATTCATATTGGTGTCATTGGCCTCTGTATTCTGGAGAAAGGAGGATCAGGGACACCCTAGAATATTCACCTACAGAAACTAGTAACTGTGATGACCCTATGAATAAACATTAGCATCTTGTATTCAGCAATGTTACAGGATTTAAAAAAAAATAAATAAAAAAATCACCACAGAATTTCTATTTCAAAGAAAAGAATATTTTGCTGCGAAGGTCTCTGCTGTAATCCCAGGCAGGTGTTCAGTAAAACCAGAGCTTTGTTTACATGTGTGTACAGAGGGAATTGTAAGTCCAAGAAAAAAAAAAAAATAATGTCTAAAGGCAGCTCTCCTGGATGCTATTTCTGACTCCGCTACTGGCACACACTTTGTCCTTCGGCAAATCGCTCAAGAATGAACAATATATCCAGTGTCTTGAAACAGCCACCCTCCCTCCTACCTCCTTTAACACCCTCCCAGTTCCCAATGCTCTCAGCTACTCCCTCTGTAAACTGGCTTTTATGTTTACCTGCCTCACAAAAAGTAAGGTAGAGATTAACTGATGGAAGAGCACTTTGGGGGATTCACTTAAAAGGCAAAACAGAAACAGAGGGTGGCATAAGCAACTCCTCCTCCCATGAGTCACACACCTGCACCTCTGACAAAACAGGTAGAGGATTGTAAAGGTCTCCTGGAAGCCAAACTTTTTTTGTTATGTGCTGTTTATTTGTACAGCACAACTGTCTGAAGAGCACAAGAGGAGGAACAACCCAATAAGTAAACTAGAATCAAGACTAACACAGTGACGCAAAAAGAAAGAAAAGGGCCTGGAAATAAAATAAAGGGGGGGAAAAAAAAAAAAAAAAATGGGGAGTTGGAGAGGTCAGTAACGAAGTACTACACAAAGGGTTCCTCTGCTTACCGAGCACGCCCAGTGAGTGAAGTGGGTAAAGTTTGAGATACGACATCGAGGAAGTAAAGGCTCCTTTCATAAGGCTAAAACTACGGGATTTATGCTGACCGCCTTCCATGGTCACCAGCTGTCCCGTTGAGGAGGGCGAGTGATGGAGCAGGTTGGTGGGTACCTGGTTGCCAGCCAAGGTCAACCCACCACACTGCATTTCCATCCTCTCAAGGGCATCCAAGATCTGCTGGGAGTGAGTATGTGGAAACTAGGAATTAAATGACTTACAGACTGATGGTCCTTAGATTACCACATTACACGTGGTTTCTTCTCTAGCACTTCCCTCCAACCATCCACTTGGTCACAACAGTCTTCTGCTGATTTACAGCTGCTACTTTAAAGTCACCACATTTCACCCCAGAGACAGCTGCATTTTAGTGCAGGAACAGATTTCCTCTCAATCTGGTCATTACTGATCATCTTGATAAGGTGCTCGGAAGTTTTTTTTTGGGACAGAATAAGCACTGTACAGGTACACATCATTAACAGATGGTGTGTTACCAAATAATTGACACAGCATAGCCTTTTCTCTTTGGTTTCCTCCTTCTGCCTCGGATGTCACAGTCCAGGCGCTGTGAAATCCGTATCAATTTCACAACAGTAAACACTAAACTGTGACATTATGGAATGACTCCTGAAAGAGGCAAAGGCCAATTACAAGAGACAACTATTTATACATAATCATCTTTCTAATCAACTGCGATAGAAAAAGAGTATTCAAGTGCAGACTCACATGCAAAATGTGATTTTTATCTCCTTCATTCTCAAAGTACGAAGACATAATTTTTTCTCTAGGATGTGTTGCTAGTGTAGCTTTCTATTTGACTTTCCATGTCCAAAAAGAGAC